AACTTCATACCCTTTCCCAGCTCACCCATTGTTAATATAGTTCTTCATTCCAGAAGAATTTTCCTGTATTCTAGAAACTAGTCTAGATCTTACAGGTTCAAGGGTTGATGAGACAGAAGCAGAGAAACAAGCAGATGTGTGACTCTGGAACATTGTTTAAAATACTATGGCAGAAGCGTTAACAGACTTGGGTGTCTGAGTGGCAGGGGCAGGAAAGACCCTGACTCATTTAATGGATGCAGCTGAGGGCCTCTAGACTAGATTCTGCGCCTCTCACCTCTCATCTCATTCTGTCGTTGTCTACTCTGTCAGCCTCTTGTTTTGTTCTGTGGGTTGCACATTGACTTCATTCCATCCTAGATCCTGAAATTTCTATCGACATTCATATATATATATATATTCCATTATATGCTCATATAATGCTTAAATTAATTAACTGGAATTGGAGGTGAGATATGCTTCTTCCCCCAGAGTCAGGTTTTGGAAAATATCTTGAGATGAAGGAGAATAAGGAGGAGGAGGAGGAGGAGGAGGAGGAGGAGGAGGAAGAGAAGGAGGAGGAGGAAGAGGAAGAAGAAGAGAAGGAAGAAAAAAAACCTTGTGAGGGAAAAGAGTAAGAACTAAGACAGGAAAAGTCAGCATCTTATCCTGAGTTACAAACACGTATGCCTGTGTGTGTGTATGTATGTGCGTTTGTGTGTGTGTGTATGTATGTTTGTGTACGTGTGGGCGCTTGTGCGTGCTTTGCACTGATAGCTAATACTGCGTATACCTGTGAATGGTACACCAATCAATATATAAAATTTTCAAGACAACAAAATTCTTTTATTGGTCTTTAAAATATGCTAAAGCATATTAAAGCCATTTAGCCTGCTTCATAAGGAATATTTCACAGATATTCAGGGTTCTGAAAGCTCATAATCTGCAAGTGCTGTAACACTTTTTACAACCCAGCCAGTAGCAACAGCCATGGCTCCCTCTGGTAGTCAGTTTAACACTTGGTGAGACTCTCATGGTAACCTACACAGTGGCAGAGAGGAGACTCAGGTCCACACACAGACCTGAAATGCCTTAGCCATGTAATCAGAATCCAGCTAGAGCCCTCAGGGAATTTAGAAAATGCTTACTCTTCTACTCAGGGGCCTTATTTTAAGGTCTTCTAGGTGATCCTTAGGGAATCTGTTCTGCCCTTGACGATCTGAACTGCTGCTGGAAATTCCATCCTTAGACCAGTTTCTCTTTCGTAAGCAGGTAGAATCAATTCAGTGTGGTCAGCAGGCATGTACTGAGTGCCTCCTGCAGCCCAACACCATGCCAGGCTTAGGATGCAATGCTGAGGGAATGTACTCCTTGATTTAAGGGAACCTAAGCAAAGGACTCTGAGTGATTTCAACTATGGTCTTTATTAAATAAAAATAAAGGCTCCATCTCAGAGGCTCCATCTCAGAGTCTCTGATTGAGAATATGTTTACTATGCCTTACAAATATGTTAATCACAAATATGCTAGCCAGCTTTGCAATGAATATCTGACAGATATTTATGGTCCTAGTGGTTCACGTCCTCCAAGTGCTATAATACTTTTTATAACCTAATTCACAGCAATAGCCATCACTCCGTCTGGTAACCAATTTAATGTTTGATGAGGCTTTCCTGGTAACTGGTACAAATGGAAGAGAGGATGCTCATTTGCAAATTTATGAGTAATTTTGCAGTGCTGTCGGAGTTAAAATTCACTAGTCTACAGAAGAGACATCCACAAAATAAATGTTGGCAACTTAGTGTTATAAATTCTATAATAGAAGTAGCTATGAAGTGCAACGGGGTAAACAATTAATATCAATTAAAGAAATGACGTTGGAAGTCCAGTGAGCAGACACAGTGTTTAGACTGGACCATGACGGATGAGAGGAGTGCATTTGGTACATGACAGAGGGGAACGGAAGAACATTCCAGGAGAGAGGAGTGTGAGTGCAGAAGTTGAAGAGAGAGAACACTTGGCATGTTCAGGGGTCATCCATCACCTACTGCAGTGTAAACGCAGACAAGTGGGAGATGAAGATGTGTGCACAAAGAGGAAACCGTGGAAAAACCAACAAAAAGCCACAGGATGAGCAACGGACTGGCGGGGGGGAGGAGAGAATGTACTAAGCTACTAATTCAAGTGTAGATATTCTCATGTGTTTATTCATTCAACAAATATTTATTGAGCACTGTCCTAGTTAGCATTGCCAACTTGGTACAGCCTAGAGTCATCTCAGAGGAAAGCTTCCATTGAGGAATTTCCTAGATCAGATTGGTCTATGGATAGACCTGTGGGGGGCTGTCTTTTTTCCTTTCTTTTTTTTTTTTTTTTTTTTTTTTTTTGTGTGTGTGTGTACGAGTACATTGCGTGCATGTATGCAAGTGCACCTGTGTCATGCAATGACCACAAAGGATAGAAGAAGATCCCCTGGAACTGGAGTTACAGGATAGTTGTTAGCCACCATGTGGATGCTGGGATTCAAACCTGGTTCTTCTGCAAGAGCAGCCAGTGTTCTTAACCACTGAGCCATCTCTCCAGCCCCAACTGTCTTGTTTTTTAATTGATCTAGGAGAGCCCATCCCACCACCAATGGTGGTGAAACCATTCCCTGAGCTGGTAGGTCTGGGCTGTATAAGCTAAGCAGGTCCTGTAAGTGAGCCAGGAAGCCGCATTCCTCCATGACTTCTATTCCAAGTCTCTGCTCAATGATGGACTGTGACCTGAACATATAAGCCAAATAAACCTTTTCCTCCCCTAGGCTGCTTTGTTCAGTGTTTTACCACAGCAACAGAGAGAGACTAGAACAAGCTCTTACTGGGTTCACTCTGTGAGGAGTTCCTCAGCTAGTTAAATATCACAGTACAGGGCTGGGGAGATGGCTTGGTGGGTAAAAGTTGACTTGCCAGCATGGGGACCCGAGTTTAATCCCCAGAACCATGCACAGTGGCTTGTGCTTATATTCCCAGAGCTGGTAAAGTTGAGAAAGGAGGATTCCTGAGGCTCAATGGCCAGCCAGCCTAGCCTACCTGGTGAGTTCCAGGTGGGTAAGAGACCCTATCTCATAAAAATGGTGGGTGGTAGGCCAGGTACAGTGGTACATGTCTTTAATCCCAGAACTCAGGAGGCAGAGTCAGGCAGATCTCTACAAGTTCCAGGGCAGACAGGGACACATAGTTAAGACTCTATCTCAAAAACACAAAAAGGGACTGGAGAGATGGCTCAGCGGTTAAGAACACTGCCTGTACTTGCAGAAGATCCGAGTTCAAATTCCAGCACCCACTTGGCAGCTAACAACTGTCTGTAACTCCAGTTCCAGGGGATCCTACAGCCTCTTCTGTCCTCTGCCAGGCACTGCCTGACACGGGTGCACTTACTTACATGCAGGCAATACACACATACACATAAAAATAATAAATAAAATATAAAAAACGAATAGTAGAAAAAACAAACAAAAAACCAAAAATAGTGGTATCCAAAAAACGACACTTAGAGCTTGTCCTCTGGCCTCCACATGTTCACGTGCACATTTGCATCCACAGACACACATGAATCATAGTACAAAGCAGAAGATAATCTTGCTTTGGCAGGTAGAAAGCAAAGATGCTTAAAGATGAGTCATTCCATTTTACCTCAAATTATTGGAAATGTTGGGGTGGAAGCCTCAGGACCGGAAATTCCCAAGGTGGGGCTGATTTGCATTTGAGCACAGGAACTGGAATTAGAGGAGATAATGTAAAAGAAAAATCCTTTTGTAACTATGCAATGCTCCTCATTCTGGCTGCTGCAGAGAACAGTGCACAAATGCAGTGGTGTGTGAAGCGTGAGGGGACCGTACTGTATTTTATTCCTGTCAGGTAGTTCAGAGACATGAACCTCCACAAGCAGGAACTGACAGCTATGTCAGAGGCAGAAGAAGCTTAAGGTCTGATTTGGGTCCTGTAAGTCTCTACCATTATATTTCCCACCGGAGGAGGCTGAACCACAGGTACTGGACTGTTCAGAAAAATCTTACTCATCCCCAAGTGACAGATCGAAGCCAAGGAATTTGTGCTTGCTGACCATTTCTCTTTCTTCCTTTCCTTTCTCTGTGCTGTGTTCTGTTTTTTTTTTTATTTGAACTGCTTGGGAGCCCTGTGGGAAGAATTTCTGTTGTTTTGCTTTGGCTGTCATTGTTTCCGTTCGCCCACTTGAGTTTTTGTGTGTGGAGAGGTGCATTATAGGCGTCAGTGATATCACTGACGACCAATGAACAGGGGAAAGGAAGCTGACAGTAATGGTCTCCCAGGGCCCAAAAGAGCCCTGCTAGAGACTACACACCCAAATGTTTGCTCTGTGTGCATGTGTACGAGTGTGCGTGTGCGTGTGCGTGTCTTCCTCACACACTCATCACCTCATGTTCTTTGGTTGTTGTTTGATTATTTTGTGTTAAGGGTTTTTTTTGTATTTTGTTTTAGTTTGATTTGTTTTTTGTTTATGAAACGTTCTCCTTGTAGCCCCAGCTGTCCTGAAACTTACCATGAAGACCAGGTAGGCCTCTACCTGACAGGGATCTGCCTGCTTCTGCCTCCCAAGTGCTAGAATTAAAGACATGCGTCACCAGGGCTGACCCCTCTGCCTTGTTTTTGAGGCAGAGTCTCTGACTGAACCTGGAGCTCACCAGTTCAGCCAGGTTGGCCAGCCATCCCCAAGGATCCTCCTGTCTCACCTCCCTGTGTTGGGATAGCAGGCATGTGCCATCAAGCTGGCTGTTTTACACCAATGCAGGGACCTGAACTCAGGTCACAGCAGGCACCTGACCCACTGACTTATCTCTCCAGCCCCCAAATCTGCTTACTGACTTCCATCCCCTGTGTTCTGGTGATGCAGCCTTCAGGGCTCACAGAGGCACCAAGGCCATTGGTAGGAGGAGCGTCTCCTTTAAGGAGGCAAGTCAGCACTGTGAGCCCAGGGCTCTGCTTTTTATCTTTTTTTTTCAGGGCCCCTCAGACCCCTGGGTGTCAAAGGTCCCGGGGCACCATGTCCTCAGGGCAGTCAGAAACCAGTGCTGGACATCACGGGTAGGGGAGAGTGCTCTACTTCTTATAATCCCAAAATAACCAAGAAGAAAATCATCCCTATTGTGGTGGTTTGAATGAAATAGGCTCCAAGTGTTTAGACATTTTGTCCCCAGATGATGGTGCTGTTTTGGGAGGTTTTAGAAGGTGTGGCTGTCCTGGAAGAAGCACGTCACTGGGGGTGGGCTTAGACATTTCTTAAGCCTTGCCAGATCTCCAATTGCCCTTTTGCTTCCTGTGCCTGCATGATGATGTGAGAGCTTGGCTTCTGCTGCTCCTGCTCCAGCCACCTCCAGCCACCATGCCTCCCTGCCATGACGGACTGTAATTCCCCTGGAACCGTAAGCTCAAATAAACCCTTCCTTCTATAAACTGCTTGCGTCAGTGTTACTACCACAGCAACAGAAAAGTGACTAATACACCCATTAACACTGAAAATGGGGTGAAGCTTCTGGGCCCCATACCTGGATGAGCACCTTAGACAAAGGAAATACTGGTGCCTGGGGTGACTGAAGACGGCAAGGATGTTGTAGAAGTTCCCAGGCCTGCAGCCTGCAGCCCACGAGCTTCACAGACTAGCTTTTTCCTTCTTTGAAGTCATTAAAAGGTTCAACCAGGAGGTGACATCATAGATATATTCATTATTATTTTTACTATTATTTGTGTGTAGTGAATGTGTGTGTCTGTGCACACACATGCACACCTGTACTCAGTAAGTTTTGCATGTGTGTGTGTGTGTGTGTGTGTGTGCATAACAATAATAATTAAAGGAGGGGTCATGAATTAGAGAGGAAGTGGGTAGAACAGGAGTTTGGAGGTGGGAGAGGGGGGACTGTAAATTATGCAAATACAGTACTCAAGTACAAAATTCTCAAGAAAAATTTAAATTTAAAAAAGGACAATAGCCAGGTGTGATGGCACATGCCTTTATTCCCAGTCTTTGGGAAGTAGGGGCAGGTGACTCTCTGTAAGATTGAGGCCAGCCTGATCTACGCCACATGTTCCAAGCCGGCTGGGACTACAAGGAGATATTGTCTCACACAAGCAAACAAACAAACAAAAAAGGGACAATAATCTAGGAATATGAGTGTGTGTGTGTGTGTGTGTATACCTTGAGAATATTATATATATATATATATATACTCCTAAGAGATTTTATATATATATAGGTGTATATATATATATATGCACATAAACCTTAGGTATGTATATGCACCTTGAATATATATATGAAGGGTTTGAAGTAAGAAGAGTTCTTGAAATAAAACAAAACAAATGGAACAACAGCAAGACTAGCCGCCAGCAGTGAACCAGCAGGACTTGCCTCTGTCTGTCGAGGGTTGTGGATATCAGCACTGTGTCTCTGGCTAGGGACATGGCTGTCAGGAGGTTTCTTTCTGAGATTCTTTCTTCCAATGTAGTCTCCACAGGTGCCCTGAGAGTAGCAGAGCCTGCAGGCTCCTCTGGCAAAGGGGAGGCCTGCACCCCATCTGCTGTACTCATGCCTAAGGCCGCCCCTACATGTCCCCCCTTTCCCAGAACAAAGTCAGTGGCCTCTGAGTGAGCTCCACAATGCTTTCCCTTTTCCTTTCCTGCTTTCCTGGCTTTAAGGGTTTCCACAGAGGCAGCTCTGTTTGATGCCTGCGACGTGTGAGTGACAGATGGGGCTGAAGGGAAGTCTGGCTTCAATCCACTGCTGGGAACTGGCTAGAAAAGAATATTTTCTGAAGGCAGTCCTGCATTGATCAGAAAGATGCCTCAGACAGGAAGATGAAATATATGGTGGGAAAATAAGAAAAAGAAGGTGTTATCTCTCACAGGAAGAAAAGACAAAGGAGAGATGAGAACAGAACGAGCCCCACCTTGGGCTGTAGCTATGAGTGTATGGTTCTCTGTTTGAGTATTGGTCCCTGCAAAGGGTCCCTAAGCCAGTCTCAATGCTGACGGAGCCCCGTGTCCGTGGCAGCCACGACCCCCTTCTTTGCAACCACTCAGACATGGAAGGAGTAGAATTACCCTCCATTTGCAGCCCAGCCCTGAAGGTGAGTAGGTGAAGCTGGGAAGCACCTGTGAGATTCGGCAGTCCAGGAAGAGGTTGGATGAACAGGTCTTTGGGCATTCTTCCTCCATTTTGTGTTCCATTATCACTGTTTCCATGGCAGCTACCCTGGGTTCATGTGACTCTCTCCACAGATAGTTACATTCTTAAGCTGGACCAAACCTAATACCTCATCTCCACAGACCTAGGTGAATTCTCCAAGGATGGATTGCTATCTAAACCATATTGGGCCTCTGCATGCCTCACCAAGGTTTCTGGATTGGCAGCAATGAATATTGGTCTTTTTCTTATAACTAAAGAGGTAAGCATTAGGGGCTGAAGAGCTGCTCGGAGGTTAAGAGAACTGGCTGCTCTTGCAGAGAACCTGGGTCTAGTTCCCAGCACCCATATGGCAGCTAACAAGCATTCCTAACTCCAGTTCGGATCCCACACCCTCTTTTGACCTCTGTGGGCATTTCACAACCTGGGTGCACTTACATACATTCAGGCAATACATCATGCACATAAAATAAAAATGATAAATAAAATATGTTTTAAAAAGAGATAAGTGTTAGACTTCTATTTCCCCCTTCTGTGGGCACATGGACTGACAGACTCTGGTGCATCTATACAATGGCATTCTGACAGTAAACAGGAAGCAAGTATTGATAGACATGCCAATCCACATTAATTGCAAAGATACTATACTGTTAGAGAGAAGCCAGGATCAAAGGATCTCACTGTGTGTGAGTCTGCATTTTGGTAAAGTTGTTAGATTTAGGAGAGCAGAAAAAGGAAGAGCTTAAAGTTTAGAAATAAGAGTCAGAGCCAGACCTGCAACAGGCAAGGAATGTGTTCCCTGGATGCAGGGAACCCAGCAAAGGCTGATAAGCTCTTCTGTGAGGAATGATTATCAACATCAAAAGGGGGAGCAGTCTGGACTTATATAGGAACTCTGCTGCATACAGCTGCAAGAGTTAACTCCGTGCCAAGGTCTGGTGTCCTTGGGGATCTCTTTTCCCATGATTATTTTCTTAGGCATGTGGGTGAGTTATCTATAGCACTAAAGGAGACAGGTGGGCTCCACGAGCAGTCTTTTTCAGCCCAGGAAGTGACCAGTTGATAAGGCTTGAGCAAGGCCAGGCTGCCAATTTAGGACCAGTTAACCACTTTAAGGGATTTACGGTTATATTGCTTTCCTAATTAGACTCATGGCTGTTTATACATTCTATCAAAGATGAACTAGCGAGACAAAGAGGATGCTAGTGCTAGCCAGAGGTTGTGGGATGTCACAGTGCAACTATGAAGGGATAGCAGGGTGCAGCTGTCAAATTATTCTGCATCCCAATCATGGCAAAGGTTGTGAAATCCATAATTACATCAAAATTTATAAAAATTTAAAAGACAAACATCAGTGTTACTGTATGATATGCTAAAAATGAAAATTGAGGGACTGGAGATATTGCTCAGTGGTTAAGAGCACTGGCTGCTCTTGCTGAAAACTCAAGTTCTGTTCTCCTCACGCACATAGAGGTTAACAACCATTTGTAACTCCAGGGGATCCAATGCCCTCTTCTGACTTACATGGGCCACGATGTGGGTGCACTTACACACATGCAGGCAATACTCTCATATACATAAGATTAAAATAATAAAAGCAAAATATTAAAAAAATGAAAAATTGAAAAATTTTAAACCTTTATGTAAAAAACAAATGTAATTTCTTAGTGAATGATAAATATAGATCCTTATATTTACAGACAAGTATACCTGTCAATAAAGAAGCTTATTTTTGCAACAGATGAACATAAGACTGTTACGGAGTTCCACAACTGGTCACCCACAGAGAATAAGTGTCTATGAGATGCCCAGCCCTAAGTGATATATCTCTAATAGAAACTCCATACCTAAGGCTTACTGAATATAGTGCAAAAGGGGGGTAGAGAAAATACTAATGCATCTCTCAAGTCTCATTACTGAAGCTTCCTCATGCAACAGGGGGCAATGAACACAGAAGGCCACCACTGGCAAAAGTGTACAGAATAAGAGACTGCAGAGTGTGTGTCCCTGGAGAGGACAGGACTCCTGCATTAAACCTCACCCACCCAGGGCCCAGGAACCATTGCAGAAGAGAGGGTGGAAAGATTGTAAGTGCCGGGGTTAGTGAATGAACAATAAGAAAACAGAATCTTCCAGGCTGGAAACTTGCTCATGTGAACTTAGCAATGGGGACGGAATGCAAACACAATCAGATAAAACCCAGCATAGAACTGGGGAAATGGGAAGAAGGCCTGAGTTGAGGAACCAGTGGCAGCTGATCACTGCGAAGAAACGGCGAGTCAGTCTTCTTTAAGGGAGTGATGGTAGATAGGCTGAACAGGCTCCAGTGGAAGAACTCACACCAAAGGACAGCTGGGTACACAGACTTGACTCCATAGGCCTTAATATATATGGCAGAATGCATGAAATTTGGTGGGCAGACTATAGGAGGTGTAGATGGGAAGGGGGGTCTAAATATGGTTAGGATGCATTGTATGAAATGCACAAAATTCAATTAAAAATATAGATCTGAAAAAAGATTTAATTATATATATAAAACACGAAGAAGTGTCTACCACTGTTCTGTAAATATTATCTGTTATTAATTTTAAGGAATTTATAATAGTATTGGATAAATAAGAATTAGGCAAGTGCTCTACTACTGATCTCTCTTCCAGCCCAGCTAGGCACTTTCTTCTTTTCCTTTCTAAATTTTATTTATTATTTTTAGGTGCATGAGTGTATTGCCTGCAGGTAGGTAAGTGCACCCGTGTTGTGCAATGCCTGTAGAGGACAGAAGAGGCCATCTGATCACCTGGGACTGGAGTTACAAACAGTTGTTAGCTGCCATGTGGGTGCTGGGATTCGAACTCGGGTCTTCTGCAAGAACAACCAGTGTTCTTAGTCGCTGAGCCATCTCTCTAGCCCCCTT